TTTTAGATATAAGAAAAATGTTTATTAAATTTTGTGATAAATTTTCAAATGAAGAGTTTTGTAATTCAAAGGAACTTTAGAGATTATTTCAGCTTTTCCTCTGACTAGCTGTGTGATCTTGAACTTGGCAATGAATCCCTTCAGACTGCCTCAGTTTCCTCATCTGTCTAGTGCATGGTTTGGCCCAGGTCTTATAACTCTTAAGCTTTAGCATTTGTAGTTCTCTCAATCTAGATTGAACTTCTATTTTACAGATGTGGAAATTGAGGCGTAAAGAAGCCAGATGACAATCTTAACATTTATGTAGAAAATTAATGGAATGTAATGGGTTAATAGCAGCTAGGAGAAGAAGACATATCACCTGCCTCAGCGTGTGTGTTTGTGTTGTCTGCTTCTTGGTAAAGAAAAGTAAACGAAAGTTTATAGCCATCAATATAACAAAGAAAGATATATACTCATGCTTTGTTTTTGATGTATTTGTAGAGACTGTCTTAAATGGTGCAAGCATATAAGTAAACAAGGTATTTGGCTTAACAACAATTAGTTTTTACAAATGACTTCATTGTTTAAAATTGTATCCATTGGGACTTTTACTATCTTAAAATTTTTAGAAGATATTCACATTTCTTAAGTTATTTTTTAAAATTTTCTGTGCGGTTTCTTATGGTAAGTCAAAAGTAGCTTGATACAGATAACACTGTTTTAAGTGATATCATTGACTGAGTTGTCTTTAGGAAAACCTTTAAACATGTTATTTCCAAGTTTATGCTTTCAGACAGCTTGAAAGATTTAAAAGCGAATAACTGAAGATGAGCATTTTTTTTCTACTAACTCTACATTTACATTGATGGAATATGTTTATGTGCTCGAATTTTATTGTTGTTGTTCAAAGGTATCTGGCTCCTTTTTTGATGTCTAGGAATTTAAATTCATGGAACAATCTCGTTCTCCATCCGTTTCACCTAGTAAGCAGCCGGTCTCAACTTCTTCAAAAACAGTAACCTTGTTTGAGCAATATTGTAGTGGTGGGAATCCATTTGAAATTCAGGCCAACCACAAAGATGAAGAAACAGAAGATGTGTTGGCTTCTAATGGGGTATGTGGTGTTTTAAAAACATATTGTAAAACATGAGATTTCTTTATTTAAATATTTTCTACTCAGTAAGAAAGGTAATTGCTGGGTTTACTTATCTATCTGCCACCCCTCTTCCTCCCTATATAATTAATGTACCTATATGATATTACTTGTATAGCTAATGACTTTACAATATGCTTTATTCACATTGTCCTCTTGAGCAATAAATTTGCCTTTATGTTCCTATTAGATTATGTTCTTATCAGATTACTAATGGAGTAGTAGTTTCTTCATTGAATATTTATATGATTTATTGTATAGACAGATGGGCGAGTGAATATTTATACTTTTTCTTGACTCCATCCCTGGATAACTAAGTGAGTCATTTCGTTTCATGTCCCTTTATCTAAGAGAGGGTATACGTGTTGCTTAGTTGCCTGGCAGGGACGTTTTTGGGATTTAAAAGTACAGTGTTTT